TGCACTGAGAGGACGCAAAATGAAACTAATGAAAACGTCTCCATTAATTTGTGCATGTAGTCATTTAATGCAATACTTTAAAAGCCTTTTTCAAAATATTTGCTACTTGCAAATGCTAATTTGTAGGCCATTGAATTTTTTTTATAATAATATATTCATTAAAATTAAAAATAAACATGAACTAACATTAACAATGGACAAAATCCCCACTATCTGATCCCCGAAGGCCGCTGTGTAGGCTAATTCAAACCCAGACAAAGATGGGTGAAGCATTGAAATAATACTATAATGCATATAAAAAATTAAGAATCGAATCGAATTAATCGAATCGCATCGAATTTGGATGTGAATCGCATCGAATCGAATCGTTCTGAATTTGCACAAATCGTTCATGAATCGAATCGAAAACCTATGAATCGTGAATCGAATCTATTCGCTGTCTACCCAAAGATTCACAGCCCTAGAAAGAAAGCATCTTTCAAATCGACTGATGTGAACCAGTCGTTCTGTTTTATGGCACGGGAGAGTGCGCCCTGTGTCAGCATTCTGAAATTGTATTTCCTCAAATGTTCGTTCAACACTCGAAGGTCCAAGATAAGCCGGAGAGAGTATTTTCTTTCTTCGGAACCAGAAAATACCGGGAATAAAAACCCTGGTTCATCAGATTGGGGGGGTACCACCTGAATCGCTCCCTTGTTTAAGAGAGATAAAATTTCTTCTTCCAGAATGTGAGAGGCTTTCTCTTCCGTGTGAGAAAGAGAATGCCGTTGAAATAAGGGGGTTTTACTGCGAATTGCAATCTGCAACCCTGCGTTATTGTACGCATAACCCATTCGGGAGCTGAAACGGTTCGCCAAGCCGCTTCGTGACTCACGAGTGTCCCCGCTCGGGCCAGAGCGGAGCTGTGGCTTGAGACCAACAGGTTTATTTGTGATGCAATGGCGCCATCTAGTGGGCAGACTAGAGGCGACATGCGGGGGTTCGGAGGGATTATCTCTCGCCGCAGTGAGAAAAGTTCTCTCTGCGGAGAGAGGTTTTCCCTCCGAAACTAATTCATTTGATTCGTTTTTATTTGTGTTATGTGTGTTTTGTGTTGGGCAAACACTGGGGCCGAAGCCTTTATTGGAAGAGTGAAGGGAACAGAGTGAGGGCAGTGTGGATTTGACACTAAACTTAACCTCCTTCTCTCCAGAGGCCCCCTGAACGTGGGGGGAAAACACACACTCCTTGAACACACGGGCTGGGCAGTCTCGACAGGCGGCGAGCTGACCCATCCGCGGGACTCCCGGGGTGTTTTGGACGGGGGTCCTAGAAGGAGAGATGAGTCCAAGGGGCTCGCAGCCCATTGAACGTGGACTCGATGTCCCCATCGGCTGAACATCAGGCATGCCGCTTGCGTTTCGTTTGGTCGGTGGGGTTGGAATTTGCAGGTCTCCCGACCGCAGTGTTTGTTAGCAGGTGCTGGGTTATGATGTCGTCGGGGTGGTTTGTTGCGGGGCTTTTCCTTGCCCTGGTGAAACTGACGTCCCGTGACTGGTGGGTTAGGCGAACGCACAGGGGGATTCTGGCGTGGGACTGACTTTCTCGGAAGGCAAAGTTTAAAAGCCTCTTCCTCCTTCTTCTTGTCGTCCCACCGTTGTTGCATCAGTGCAACGGCGGGGCCGAAGAGAGCCCGGCCGGGCTCAACCGGCGCGCCCGCGATGCGCCGCTTCTCGCTGTCAGGGAGTCCCGACAGGTTAAGCCAGAGCGCGCGCTCTCCCACCACGGAGAGCGCCATGGAGCGCCCGCAAGCTTGGACAGCCTGACAAGAGTTACGGAGGACGAGGTCGTTCACCGTGAGGATCTCCTTCCAAAGGGTTTCGGAAGGATTTCCCTTTTCTAATTGTAGTAGTCCAGTAGTCCAGTAGTTCCTCATGTGCTTAGCGCACGCCGGGAGGATGGGGAAGAGTTGTTTCCTCGGGCTGGGAGGGGGTCCCAGCACTTTCCCATCATAAATATCCCTCTCCTGGTCGGTGGCGCTCTGAGGTGCCAGCCATTCGATGTTGAGACGAGCGGCCGCTCGTTCACACACTTCCAGGAGGATGGCTTGAGGAAGAGCCGCGTGGTCGGTAATCTGGGGAACTACAGAGGACGGGATGGCCTCCTCGTCCTCTGAAAATCCAAGAATGGCCGCATCCTCCTCTTCGCCCGAACCGGCCGGTTCGTGAGCGAGAGCGAGGTTATCCCCGAAGATGTCCTCCTCGGGGAAGGCGGGATTGGGCTGGTCAGCCCAGACGAGTGACGATGCGTCCCAAGAGGCCCTCGGAGGCGCGTCGTCATCACCGTGTCCCCCGTCCGAGTCTGAGCCCGTAGGGCTCAGGAAGCTGCTGACGTTTAAGCAGCTTCCTGGGCAGTAACAGGCAGAAACTGCAGTTATCGGGGTTCTCCAGGGCTTCCCGAGCGTGCTTCGGACCCAGACAAACAACGCAAAGTTGGTGGAGATCTTTAGCTGCGATAAGGGCTCCACACGCGGCCGGGCAGGCCCGTGAAAAGCTATCCCCAGGAGATGCCGCAGGCTTAGACAGAGACATACCAGCAAAAAAGAGGGAGAAATCCGTGGCGAACAGCCGAGATGTAGAACGGTGAGAAATAACGAGAGCGTGGGCGGCTCCGAATGCGCAGCAGCAGTTAAATTAAATCTGTCACGTCCGGTGGAGGCTGATCGGGCCGATATGTCCTCCTGTAGACACGAGGTGAGCAGAGTAAAAAACTTAACCGAGCTGAGATTGCAGAGATCGCGAGAAGCGAATGACAACTGAGGATTAGCAGCGCGCCCAGATGTTATATGCCCGTGGGTGAGGGGTGTGGCCTCACCGGGCATTGGCTGCGCGCTTCTGTCTGTCTAGCCAGACTTGGTGCAATTGGATGCTTCTGCAGAGGTCAGGTACGGATGCCCTTCCCATAGGTGGATCTCGAAACGAGATGATGAAAGAGAACTTCCTTTAACGTTACTTCACAGCACTGCGGAGCGCTGTCAGTTCTTCCTAAAACCCAAACGTAACAGTCAGAATCAGCACGATCGGCGATTGTTGCAAAATGCTGTCTTCTACTGTTGCAAGATAAAAAAATGGCTATTAAAACCACAAAAACCTGCGCAAGAGACGCTGTTCACAAGGCGCTGCGCGCTCCGAAACGGACTGTAACGAGACAAGAAAAGTAGCCTATACTTGGGCTTTGTGCGTCCTTAACTATCAAATATTCATAAAAAATGTCAAAATGACCAGCTCTGAGATTCACTTAAGCACAGTTTATTCACTTAAACACAATTATGTCTTAAATGGACGTAAATAATAGGGAGAAAATGATGGTGCATCAGTCCCCATTAGATCTGCACTTGGTCTTAAAGGGGCAGCAGTCTAATAGCCTAAACCTGCTGACGATTCAACAACAACAAAAGGCAGAGAAAATCACTCACAGCTTTTGAATGAGTAACTTTAGATTTAATAAGCATTATTCTATCTACGAAAAACTATACAGTCAGTGCTATTTTATATTTGATTACTAGGTTTCTTTTCAGACAGAAACAATTACCTGAAAAGATATGTTAGTAGACCTTCTTGAAATTAAAGCACTTTGTATATTATTTGTATCTTTGATTAATTGTATCCTTGTGTTTGTACTTGTTTTTTTTTCTTATGTGTCCTATTTGTATAAACAAAAAAAGCCTGCTCACTGCTGCATAACAAAAATATATTTTTCTTCGTTTTGCTTTTTCTATTTTACATTTCAAAATATAAAGTTTAATTATGTTCTTAATTCTTAAAAAAAATAATAATAATAATAAATAAAAATAATAAAAAAAAAACACCAAAAAGAACCGATAAGAATACTGTTAAAGTACCGAATCGATAAGCGGTATCGGTAAGAGTAGTAATACTGATAAAACCTTAACGATACCCATCCCTAGTATTAACTATGATTTTTACCTCAAAAAACTCCTAATTTACTGCTTAGTTAGTAAGGTGTTTTTGTAGCTTTTATTGGGTAGGTTTAAAGAGATGTAGAATAACGTCTAGCAGAATAAGGCATTAATATGTGCTTTATAAGTACTAATAAACAGCCAATATCCAAGTAATATGCATACTAAAAAGCAACAAGTTTATAGTGATAATGACTATGACAGATACTTCGTAAGACCGGACCTAAAAAATATGTTGTCCACTGAGAATTAAGAACTAGCAAATATCAATGTCAACTAAAAAAAAGTTCTAAACAAAACTAAATCTAAAAAATTGTACAGTATGTGTAAATATAGAGCAAATATACAGCATTCAAAATGTCCACCTCTTGCTGCACAATATTTTTAATCTCTGACTATTTTTCAGTGCCACGTCATCCATGACAATGAGCAGGTCTATGTGTGATAAATGCAAATGTTGTACATTAAAGTCAAGCTTAATGAGTGTATTTTATGGACTATTCTGACATGAGGGAGAACGATTTAAGCAGTGTTACCCATATGACATGTCTAGCTGGGATGAGGGGTTAAATAAACCAAGACCTCTGTGTTTAACTGCAGGCTATCCTGGTGTTTGTGGCTTGTGTGTGGGAACCCCTATAGGTCTCTTAACGTCTGAACCTGCCTGCCTTGATTAGTTGAAGGTCAACATTTTTTGATTGTTATCTGTCCTGTGTGAGATGAATAGCTTCCCTGTGAAAAAGTGTCCCTGAGGGGCAACACTATCGCTCCACCGTTTATGGTACACGAATGATCAGCCCCATAAAAAAAGCTGTCTTAGACATCAGTGGAGGTCCATAATGAAGAGAACAAAGTTCCTACAAATAAATTAAGCTAAGCATTTCACCCATCACTGGAGTTAATATATGTGTTCACAGAATTCCCAGGGTTGAGCTGCTTAAATCAAACTGGACACGAGGATTGGGATGTGAGATTCCTGGTACCTATTTGCAAGTATAACCATAAATAACACAATGGCAGAAAGATTCTGGAACGCACTCACTTGTAGGCTTGACGTACACCTTCAGTTTCAAACACGGCTTCCCACCAAGGTTGGGGTGTGGTGAAGCTGTGAAGAGACAGAGAAAATGAAAATTACAGTTAATGTTCCTCACATAAATCTATGTGACTTGACATGATTTAGTTAGAAATGGCTTAAAAGTACATCTATGAGGTAATTTTACTGTTTACCTAAATCACAAAGCAACTAACCCAAATCACCAAGTTCAACCAATAAAGCACAACATTGATCAATGTGGAAGTGATTCATTTTTAACGCAGATATTTCCTTGTGGTTTGGCCTCTCATTTACATGAAAACCCAGTTTTTATCACAGAAAACGGTTATTTCTAAAAACTCCAGCCAAAGTGGAAATTCTGAAAACGCCCGTTATGTGTTGTCATGTAAACTGGGAGAAACTGGGTTTTGGGTTCTCTCTTGTCGATTCTGAGGATTCTGTCTGGCTTGCATAGCTTTATCCTTCTCCCTACACTGCCCCCTATAGGTTTGGAATAGTTATGATGGCGCATAACGGCGTATTTATCTGAGTGTGTGCACGATGTTATTTTTGAAAACGGAGGCGGGGGAAGTATTTATTTCTCCAAATACCCAGATTTTTGTAAACGTGGCCTTAAAGGTACAATATGCAGGATTTTTGCAGTAAATATCCAAAAACCACTAGGCCAGGCCAATGTTATATATTTTTGTTTAGTTGATTACTTACAATATCCCAAATGTTTCCAACTATTTGTAAATCGTGAGAAAATTGCGATTTTTAACCGAGGAAACGGGAGTGTGACCAGGGGTGAGGAGTCGCCAGTCAATGACGTCATATCCGTGTTACCCCCGGTTTCTGCCAGGTTTGACCTTGTACTGCAATAGTAACCATGGCGACAGACATGGACAACTGAGTCGGTTATGCCCGTTATGCGTGCTCAACAGCGTAAGCGTCCCTAGCAGGGTTTTGTTCAAACATTATGGACCATGGAAAGCAGACTTTGAGACGATAAGAGGACTAAAACGAAGATCAATATCTTTCAAGATGCTGAGAGCTCCATGTCCGCGACTGACTTCGACTTGACAGAGAGTGTTGCATGTTACTTGAGCAAACAGGTGAGCAAATCATATAAAACTAATCAATGTTATATAGTTCAACATGATGAAAAGTTAGAATGTGGAAAGATATAGAAAAATATACCTTGTATAACTCAAAATTATGTTTTTTATTACAAAATTTCTTATGTTTTTTTCTTTAAAAAAAATCAAACTTTGAGTTATGTCAGGACAATCATCCACAACCTCAAATGAGAGGACTTTATAAAATAGCTGATCAGAAAACATGGAAGCTTGAAGAAAATATGGTTGAAAATTGCTAAAAACAACATTTGAAATGCATACAAATGCAAATCTGTTAACAAGTTATAAGTAATAAATAAATGCTTGCTGGCTCTTGGTGTCACGGTGTGGGTGCAGGCAGAAGAACAGGCTGAGTCCAAGAAGTTCCAATACACAGATTTACTAATAATTAAATACAAATTCAGGCAGAAAGACAGGGTGTCACCAGGTAACATTAAACATTGACCGACAAAGACAGGATGAAACTGAGGAAACTAAATACACGGAAGAATCAAACATAATGAGGTGAAGACAGGTGAAACAGATGAACAGGACGCTGAACGGAAGGCTGATGAGGGAGTGAGTTCAGGTGTGCAGACAAGAGGATCATGGGAAGTGTAGTGCTGGAGAAGACAGGATGGTGCAGACGAAGGACTGTGACAGAACTCCCCCCTCCCGGGAGGCGTGACCTCACGCCGCAGAACAGAGGAAGGAGGGGGGACGAACTGGGGGCTGAGCGGGGCGTGGCCAGGGCGGAGCCGGCTGAGGGTGTGGCCAGGGCGGAGCCGGCTGAGGGCGTGGCCAGGGCAGAGCAGGCTGAAGGCGTGGCCAGGGCGGAGCAGGCTGAGGGCGTGGCCAGGGCGGAGCAGGCTGAGGGCGAGACCAGGCTGAGGGCGAGACCAGGGCCGAGCAGGCTGAGGGCGAGACCAGGGCCGAGCAGGCTGAGGGCGAGACCAGGGCCGAGCAGGCTGAGGGCGAGACCAGGGCCGAGCAGGCTGAGGGCGAGACCAGGGCCGAGCAGGCTGAGGGCGAGACCAGGGCCGAGCAGGCTGAGGGTGAGACCAGGGCCGAGCAGGCTGAAGGCGTGGCCAGGGCGGAGCAGGCTGAGGGCGTGGCCAGGGCGGAGCAGGCTGAGGGCGTCCCCAGGGCAGAGCAGGCTGAGGGCGAGACCAGGCTGAGGGTGAGACCAGGGCCGAGCAGGCTGAGGGCGAGACCAGGGCCGAGCAGGCTGAGGGCGAGACCAGGGCCGAGCAGGCTGAGGGCGAGACCAGGGCCGAGCAGGCTGAGGGTGAGACCAGGGCGGAGCAGATGGAGGGAGGCCCCCTGGTGGAGCCGAAGGAGACGGGGCTGACAACACCAGGGGGCCGACTGACAGGTGCGGAGCAAGTGCGAGAGGAGACCAGGGTGAAGCAGAGCGACTGGCGAGACAAGGTGCTGACGAGGGACCAAGGGACCGTGGTGATAACACAGGCTCGGGTGACCAAGGTGATGACAGGGGCACAGAGGAACACGGTGAGGCCAGAGGGAGTGAGGGCTGACGGGTGACTGGAGGGAGTGAGGAGTCCGACAGAACCGGGGGGGTGACATGACGGTGCGGAGCAAAGGGAAGGAAGTCCAAAGGTGAAGGGAGGATGACGAGGGAGCGAGGGGAATCCGGAGGACAGAGGGAGCCTGTCCGAGCTGGTGGACTGTGGGACCATGGAGGAGCTGAGGGAGGTATGAGTCACGGGGGAGCCACTGGGACCGGGGGCCGAGGAAGTGTCCATGTGGAGGAGTTGGGAGGCGAAAACCGGGGATCCCACGACCAGGCTGGGTCAGGGGAGCTGGCAGACGGAAGGGCTGACGGCTGCGTGACGGGAGGAGGTGGGAGAGGGAGGCTGGGTGGGATCCCGGTCTCGGGCTCTGGCTGGACGGTCTCGGGCTCTGGCTGGACGGTCTCGGGCGCGGGCTGGACGGTCTCGGGCGCGGGCTGGACGGTCTCGGGCGCGGGCTGGACGGTCTCTGGCGCGGGCTGGACGGTCTCTGGCGCGGGCTGGACGGTCTCTGGCGCGGGCTGGACGGTCTCTGGCGCGGGGTAGACGGTCTCGGGTGCGGGCTAGACGGTCTCGGGTGCGGGCTAGACGGTCTCGGGTGCGGGCTGGACGGGGCTGGACGGGACCAGCAAAGAAGAGAGCTCGGGCTCGGAGAGGCTGGTCGGAGCCAGCAGAGAGGAGAGCTCGAGCTTTGGAGTGGTGCTGGTGACTACCTCCACGGTGAATGGAGATTCACAGCACACCAGCACCCACTCCACACAGGCGGCCAAATTCTCTTCGGGACCGCTCCCTGGGAGGCGTGCTTGGGACCGCTCGCTGAGGCTGGCGAAGTAGAATACACACAGCGAGCGGTCAGAATAGTGGGTGAGGCACGCCAACTCCAGAAAATCCCTGGTGTGGGACTCCAGGGAGCGGTCTTCCTGTTCCAGGCAGAGAAGGGCTACCGCTGGAAGGTCCATTCTTTTTTCTTGGGTTGGTCAATCTGTCACGGTGTGGGTGCAGGCAGAAGAACAGGCTGAGTCCAAGAAGTTCCAATACACAGATTTACTAATAATTAAATACAAATTCAGGCAGAAAGACAGGGTGTCACCAGGTAACATTAAACATTGACCGACAAAGACAGGATGAAACTAGGGAACTAAATACACAGAGGAATCAAACATAATGAGGTGAAGACAGGTGAAACAGATGAACAGGACGGGAGGCTGATGAGGGAGTGAGTTCAGGTGTGCAGACAAGAGGATCATGGGAAGTGTAGTGCTGGAGACGCAGACAGGATGGTGCAGACGAAGGACTGTGACACTGGGAGCATATACATTTAAATAGATATAAAATGTAATATTTTTGTAGATATTATTCTTGACAAAGCTCTGATTACTAAGAGCTGCACAGAAGAGGCAACGCGGTTATTAGATTTGTGATCCCTGGGCTACTTTCAAATGTAGTGTTTAGACTTAGTCATGTTTAAAACATTTAAATAGACATTAAATAGTAGAAAATATGCATGATATAGTATTTAACTTTATATTCGTCTTGAAAAAGCTCTGATTTATGAAAGATGCCTTTCTGAGAGACCTTTCTGTTCTCATTTCATTCATAGAGTTTACACTCATTCACTTCAAACACTTATTGGATAATGATTTTAGAGGTTTATGTATAATATCATGCTATCTCTTGGCTCACCTGTTATCCAGCAAACATTAAGAGTGACTGTGTCTGCCAAATATTTTTTCCTACTATTCAGTAGAATTCATCATTAGCTTGAAGTCTTTATCCGTTCCTTTCCAAATAAGGTATTTGGTTTCAGGCACATCCCAAATATATTGGATAGGCTGGTTGACCCTTAGACCACACTAGAAGAATATTTAACTTCTAAAACTTTACTGTTGTGCTCTGTAGCATTGCAAGGTAGAAAAAGTCAAGACAAAGACCATGTGGTCCTCTGACAGTAAACATGTGAGATTCTGTGTCATCGGTAAGGCCATGTCTACTGACACCATGGAAACCAGGAGCTCTTGTACTCTATGAACCAGACAAAACATTTGCCTGGAGAGCAATGAACAAATTTCCATTACTCTGCCATGTGAGTCTCTCCCTCTCTTACCCTCACCCATCTAAACATCTACACTAAGAAAAAAAGCACTTAAGAGTCTGTTCTCCATTTAAAAGTCTAACTTCATTCTGGCACTTGTTTCCCCTCATCTCCTTCAAAAGCATACAAATGGATTTTTGGCTAATTTTTTTTTTTTTAAGATTGCAAATGGAAAACAAATCATGATTTTGCCATGACACAGTTTTCAGCTTGCTCTTCAGATACATAAAAATTCCTTCAGCAATTACCACAAATCACTCAGCGGCTCAGCTAATGGAGAGCTGATGTGTTCTGCACAAAAAGCTTCTTTTGAGTGAATTCTGCTCTAAC